TATAAACGGTACAAATGGAATGCTATGAGTATATACGTATGTGACGTAAAAAATGAAAAAATATAATCAGGTGATTGGCAGAGGTTAGTAATAAAATGTTTACAGGAAAATAAAAATAAATTAAAAAAATGTCCTAGGTAACCCTGAAGGGGATGACTTTAATATTATTTTATAGATCATGTAACTTTGTGTAATGGTTTTGGATTCAGTAACCACTATTAAAGTCCCAGCATGGCAAATTTTGCACGTTTAGCTTTAAACTTAATTCAGTCCCTGCAATATTTGCCCTTTAACATCCATAAAATTGATTGAAATCCTAGACATGTGAAACATGTTCATAGACAAGACTACTACATATTTTTTTTTTATTTTTTTTTTATTTGAAAAGTTTTTATTGGTATTCAAGGAAGGGGGGGAGGATACAGAAATGAAAAAAGGGGGGAGGGTGGGGCATAAAAAGGGCTATTTAGCACATGCATACAACACCAATGGGTACATAAATCGAGCATATGTGAGCAGATACAAATTACATGTTGACATCACCCATACAGTTGTATAATGAGGAGTGTGCATAGTAAGAAGTAAGATATGGGTGCTGTGATTATGCGATTCTCCTTCTTTTGTGTTTGTATAGTGTTGTCAAGGGTCCATGAGACTGTCTCGGGTAACTATACATATGAGTAGTCTAGGTAACGTGAAAGTATTGCATCTAGATGCCTTAACTCATGTAAGTTTCCATAGAGTATCTGGTGGTGGCTCAAAGGTGTGTGTCACCACTTCCCAGGGTATCGTATCACTTACAGACATAGCCTAATTTATGAGATTACGTGTCTTCAGACCTCGGCACCTGATCTCCATGTGTCCCATGTCGACCAAGTATTTGAGATGAGTTTTGTTTGGGGGAAAAGATGAGGGAATTGACGCTCATAAGAACCTTGTTTGTCAATTTCCAGCAAGAGACTCTCAAGGGAAGGTGCCGTTTTGGATTTCCAGTCCCTGCCAATACAGCATTGGGCTGTGAGCGCTATGTGCATAATCAGTTTTATTTAGTGGCGGGCAGGGAATTAGGTAAATCAAGGAGGAGGTAGGTCCTTGGGGAAAAAAGTATAGGGAGCTCCACGTTTTCAGTATTAAGGCGGTGAATCGCTTTCCAGTATTTTGTAAGGCCTGCACATGTCCACCACACATATAGGTGAGAGCCTTCGTCAGTGTCAAGGCACCAACATGTGGTGGGCGTTTGGGGGAATATCTTGTGCATCCTACTAGGTACCATGTATCAACAGAACAGCTTCTTTTAATGTTGTTCCTTTAGAGCAGCGGATTTTATCAGTTTGTGGTTCAGTTTAAAAATTGTTTCCATTGTTTCTGGGATAGGATGTAATGTAAATCTGTGTGCCATTGTGTCACGGGATTAGATTCTGGGATTATGTGGTCTGAGACAAATTTGTAGCACATGGAGATTGTTTACATAAAGGAGGTAGCTTTTCACTTATACACAATTGTTCTCACTTTGTAACTGTATCGGTTGAGAGTACTTGTGTGGTTCCTAGTCTAGATTGTCTAGATAGGAGGGATTTTAGTTGTAAGTAGGAATAGTGCGAGGATCGGGTAGGTTATATTTAGATGTTAGGGTTTGGTAATCCAATAGCTCAGTTAACTCATACAAGTGCTATAGGTGAGTCACTTTCTGGTATAACCAGTGTTTTGCATTAAAGGTTGGGATCCAGTAAGCTAATGCTGCTATTGTGGAATGTGGACGCTAGTGACAGGGGGCATTTGCGGCCAGCTTCTGCCTGTTTTTGTCCCAAACCTGGAGCATCAAGGCAATCAGGGGGGGGGGGTTACTCCTGTGGTTTTGTGATGTACAGTAGGATGTCATCTGCAAAAGCACTGACTCTTAGTTCCTTCTGTCCAATTCGCACTCCAGCAATGTTGGGAGGAATTCCTTATAGATTCTAGTTATGGTTCAAGGGCTAACACATAAAGCAACGGGGACAGGGGACACCCCTGTCTTGTTCCATTTGTTTCAGTGAAGGGAGTTGAGAGGAATCCCGCTTGCAGCTCCTGGGCAGTCAGGTGGGAGTATAAAGCAAAAGCCGTATGAGTGTAGTACGTGTCTCAGGAAGGGCCAGCCCTGTCGGTCAAAAGCCTTTTTCAGTGTGAGAAGACCACCTTCTGGGCCGGGCCTCCAAAGATGTCTCAGCACAGGGCTAGTTTGCGGTTATTGTCCAGACCCTGTCATCCTTGCACAAAGCCTGTTTGGTTGTCTTTGATTAATTACGGTAATAAATCAAACAGGCTAGTCTATTAGCTAAGATATTGGTGTAGATCTTTGCGTCCGTGTTTAGGAGCAAGATTGGTCTGAAATTTTTGCAATTGTCTGTAGTTTTATCTGGTTTGGGGATAGTTACTATCGTGGCTAAAAGTATGTCAGGTGGTAATACCCCCGTGGTTGCCGCTGCCTAGTACAGTTTGAGAAGGAAAGGGGCTAAAATATAATATAAGTTAGAGAGGCAGTCAACTCCTGGGGAATTGCCAGCAGGCAATTGATTAATTGCTCGCAGTGTTTCCTTCAAGGATATGGGCAGTGCAAGCGAGGTCAACTGAACCGGAAGTAACATGGGGAGTCGGATTGATGCGAGGTAATCTTGTATTTCTCTTTGGGAGTGGACATGTGTGAGTGGGTCGGTTTGCAGGTTATATAGTTTTGAGTAGAATTTAGCAAATTCCTGAGTGATAGCCAAAGGCCCGTGTTTTACAGTGCCGCGGTCATCTTGCGTATGCGCTATTCTAGAGCATGACAATTGGTCCCGTAGTCTATTATCTAAGGATCTGTTGGCTTTGCCACTGCTGTAGTAGGTAGAAGCTTTCAACTTATGGAGGATCCTATTTGTTTGCACAGCATTGAAGGATTGTAGTTGATGGTACCAGGTGTGCAGCTGAGTTGCTATTTGTGGAGACGGATGGGTTTTATTTTGTTAAGAGAACTGGGCCATCTTTTTGTAGCATGCTAATGAATCTACCTGGTGCTGTTGTTTTGTTTTTGTTTTTTAAATAATTCTTTATTTTTGCATTGACAGACAATACAGCTTGTAAACCACCCGTGGGCTTGCGCAAAAGCCGTGTTTCATGAGGTATAATGGCAAACCAATGATACAGAAAAAGATAATGATTTTGTTAGAGATCCGTTTGCTGTACAGCAGCCCCGTCTTTCCTTTCTTTGTTATTTTTCTGAAGCTGCAGTCAGTCAGTGTTTTTTTTTTTTCTTTCAATTTTATAAAAACATTAAACTTCCAAAACTGGAAAATACTGTGGTAGGTGTATTCCTTAAATTAACAGAGAATACTATAACTTTGGCACGCAACCTGTTGATTTATTCTTCCCGTGTTGTTATTCTTATTTAGTTTAGTTTTATTCGCTATTTCCCCCTCCCCCCCATAATTCGCTGGTTACGAATACAGGAATGGAGCCCTCAGTTCTCGCGTGAACTGTATTTGTGGTTACAATTCGGTATCGTGAAGTTACTGCCTGTTGTTACATACTCTTTGCATGTTACAGTGTTGGGCCGTAGTGCTGTAGTTTGTATCACCATCATAAAATACAACACTACCTGCTACCTTGGCAGTAAGTCCTCTTTTGGAAGAGCATGGCTGAGACCTAGTCTTCTGCCCCTGGTAGCCCCGCTGGTCCGTGGATTGTAGTATCGCTGTGGGCTTTTTTGCTTTACGCTCCATACTGTGCAACTTATGTTTTCCGTTTTTTTTTCTCCACTTTTTCTTTTTCTCTCTCTTTCCCTCACCCCCTTCCCGAAAGGAGAAGACCAGTCCATAGAGGGGGAGGGGGGGGAGAGTTCAGGCAAGGCGGCGGGGGGGCTGGGAGACAGAGGGCCGCGGGGGAGGGGAACTCGCCGGGTACATCCGCCTTGTGTGTGTATGTGGTAGTATGTGCTGCCGAAGTTAACTTGTGTATCTCATTATGCACGCGCCATCCTTTCTAAGTATTCCTCCCATGGTTGGTGCTCATAGTGTTTCGTACCTGTGCCGTCAATTTGTCCATGGTAAAGTTGTCCTTTATTTTGTGTATTACTTTACTCAGAGGAGCGGTGTCAGGGTTGAGCCATTGTTGGGTCAATGCTCTTCTCGCCGCTAAGGTCAGTTTGTTAACTAGTTTCTGTTCTCTTGTTGTCAGGTCGTCTTGTGGTTTGGCTAGAAGGTATGTCCGTGGGTCTCTGCGTATTGGTCTTTCTAGGACTGCTGTCAGTAATGTCTCTATTTCCGTCCAGAATCTCTCTACTTTGGGACACGTCCACCACATGTGGATGTATGATCCTCTCTCACCGCAGCCCCTCCAACATGTATCTGTGGTGGTTTTCCCCATTCTATAGAGTTTGGCCGGGGTGGCGTACCACCTCAGGAGGGTTTTATATGCCTGTTCCTGAAGTGTTACGCATATGGACACTTTGGCTGCTGCTTCCCAGATATCTTTCCAGTCTTCCCCTTCCAGTGTTTGCTATAGGTCTTTCTCCCATTGGGTTATGTAGGTGAGGGGTACTGCGTCTCTTTCCGGGGCGCTAAGCTGTGCGTATAGCCCTGTGATCAGTCCCTTACGTGTGGTTTCTGTCATACATGTTTTTTTCATAGCTAGTCAATGGGGCTTTGGCTGCCTCTCTAATCCCAGGATGTTTAGCAAAGTCCCGTAGTTGCATGTATCTGAAAAAGTCTCTCGTTTGTAGTGGCGCTATCTGTGTTCAGGGTGCCTATAGATTCCCTTTAATAAAACATCCATTGATTGTATATTTAAATATCTGACAGTGGGAATTTAGGACTGTATGGATCAATCTGCCTTATGCCTTGGAGATGTGCTGTTCCCACATTACAACAGCAACAAAAATACACTTAATATTTTTTTCCCCTAGCATTTGGAGGCTATTGCACATACGTGGCAAAATGCAGCGCTGCTCCATTTAACATCACCTCATAGAGATGCATTGAATTGTGGTCGTCTGAGTTGCTCTCCGTAGAGGTGTAACCACTGCCTTTTTCCTGAAAATGCAACACTTATAGTGCTCAGCCTACAGGGACAGGATATAGATGCTATACCCACTACATTAAGCTGTATTAGTTCTGGTGACTAGAGTATCCCTTTAAGTTTGTCCTTTTAAAAATGATCACTCATTTAAAGGACGAAAAAATTTATCTATTCTCGCATATGTGTTGTATACTTGAGAGTGGAATGTATAGTCCCTCTCTGAGGGGTATAAGGTTTTCCACCCGTCATAAAGACCATAGTTTCCAATCAGTTTAGAAGTTGCTTTACAAGAGCTTGCCACTTGTATGCATCTACGGTCCTGTAGGTGCGACTGTTGTGTCAAGTGAGGGAGATTGTATGAAGTTGAAATCCTTTCAAAGGATTAAGCCGCCCTATTGGAACTTATCGATTTTGGATAGGAGGGTTTGGAAGTAAGCTTTTGTGTCCGAGTTTGGGAGGTATGCTGACACCAAGGTGTGTTGGACATGATTAAACAATCCCACTAATCTCATGTATCTACCTTGCTTATCTATGTAGTGCTTCTATAATGTGAAAGCAATATCCCTGTGTATAAATATTGACACTCCTTTGGTCTTATTGGCAGAAAGAGAGTGGTATTGAATGGGAAATTATTTGGTGTATAGCCCTGGTGTAAGTGGTTTGTTAAGGTGGGTCTCTTGGACACATGCCACCTCAGCTCGGCATTGTCTGAGGTCTTGAAGGAGCAGTCTCTGTTTACTACGTATGTTTAAACCTTTTACATTGTCTGTCACAATTTTAAGGCTCACTATGGGACAGGGGTGGTAGAACACTATGGGACAGGGGGTGGGGGTGGTAAGGAACACTATGGGGGAGGAGGGGTGGAAAGAACACTATGTAAGGGGTGGTAGGAAGGACACTATGGGGGGGGATGGTAAGGAACACTATGGGATGGGGAGAACACTATGGGGCGGTGGGGACACTGGGGCGGTGGGGAGAACACTGTGAGGACGCAGGGAGGAGGAGCATGGGGGAGGAAGAACACTATGAGAAGAACACTATGGGACATGGGGAAGAACACATGGGACAGGGAGGGGAAGAACACTCATGGGACAGGGGGAAGAACACTATGGACAGGGGGGGGAGGGAAGAACACTATGGGACAGGGGAGGGGAGGGAAGAACACTATGGGACAGGGGAGGGGAGGGAAGAACACTATGGGACAGGGGAGGGGAGGGAAGAACACTATGGGACAGGGGAGGGGAGGGAAGAACACTATGGGACAGGGGAGGGGAGGGAAGAACACTATGGGACAGGGGAGGGAGAGGGAAGAACACCATGGGACAGGGGAGGGGAGGGAAGAACACTATGGGACAGGGGAGGGGAGGGAAGAACACTATGGGACAGGGGAGGGAGGAGGGAAGAACACTATGGGACAGGGGAGGGAGGGAAGAACACTATGGGACAGGGGAGGGGAGGGAAGAACACTATGGGACAGGGGAGGGAGGAGGGAAGAACACCATGGGACAGGGGAGGGGAAGGGAAGAACACTATGGGACAGGGGAGGGAAGAACACATGGGGAGGGAGGGAAGAACACACATGGGGGAGGGGAGGGAAGAACACATGGGGAGGGAGGGGAGGGGAGGAAGAAGGAACACTATGGGGAGGGGAGGGAAGAACACTATGGGACAGGGCAGGGGGGGAGAACACTATGGGACAGGGGAGGGGGGGAAGAACACTAGGGGGGAGAGAGGAACATTAAGGGAGGACACTAAGGTACAGGGGAAGGAAGAGAAAGGAACAATGGGGTATAGGGGGGACCACTAAAAGAGAAGGGAGAGGAATATTAAGGGGAATGGTAAATGTACCGAATATCGGTAAGCTATTGGCTATCGGCCTGAAAGTTGACAGATTTTCAAATAGGTTTTACTCAAAAAATAAATAAAAAATGAAAAACTGCTAACACAATGTAACCGGTCATGGAAAATAACACCTTTAGCTTGAAATTCCCTTTAAGCTATATTATTTCTTTCTTGAATCCATGCAGGGTAGAATTCAGGAAGTTCTAAAAGAAAAAAGGAGTACAGCACGGTAAAAGAAAGGTGTACTTAAAGGAACATTATAGAGTTAGGAATACAAGCTACTTATTTTAGTGTGACGTCTGAAAAGTGAGATTTACTTAAGTTTCAGTCATTTTCACACCGCTCTCCGTCCTGCCACTCGCCTCTTTGGCTGAGATCATCAGAGTAGATGATCTCAGCCAATCCAATGTATCCCCAAAGGGAAACATTGGGAGGCTATTGTGCATGGGTAGCAAAACTCTCTGCATTACCAATAAAATGGTCTCTGAGACCATCTGAGTGAATAGCCGAGTGTAACTTGGCTGTTGGGGTAAAAACACCTCTAGTGGCTGTCAGAAAGTCAGCCACTAGAGCCATGTCAAGCCTGCAATGTATCCATCTTCAGGACAGAATTGTTGTCTGTTACAGGGTTAAACCTATAGGGACATGACATCCAGACCGTTTCATTGAGATGAAGTGTTCAGGGTGCCTATAGATTCCCTTTAATAAAACATCCATTGATTGTATATTTAAATATGACAGTGGGAATTTAGGACTGTATGGATCAATCTGCCTTATGTCTTGGAGATGTGCTGTTCCCACATTACAACTCAAGAAAAATACACTTAATATTTTTTTTCCCCTAGCATTTGGAGGCTATTGCACATACGTGGCAAAATGCAGCGCTGCTCCGGTTAACATCACCTCATAGAGATGCATTGAATTGTGGTCGTCTGAGTTGCTCTCAGTAGAGGTGTAACCACTGCCTTTTTCCTGAAAATGCAACACTTATAGTGCTCAGCCTACAGGGACAGGATATAGATGCTATACCCACTACATTAAGCTGTATTGGTTCTGGTGACTAGAGTATCCCTTTAAGTTTGTCCTTGTAAAAATGATCACTCATTTAAAGGACGAAGAAGAAGAAAGAAAAAAAAATGTAAAAGAAATGGCAAGAGATGAAATCTGCAGAGGTGTAATACATCTTGTCCAAGCCACTTCCACCACAAAACCGCATGTGGAAAAATACTGGAACAAAACAAATGGAAAAAGCACATTTGAAGAAAAATTATAATTTTCATGGAGGTCAGTGCAACATTAGTGATATTTGCTGAGAAAGAAAACTCCATCTCTCATAATATGCACTAACCATCCAAACAATGTGTTTTTAGGAGAATTTTAGCTTTCGTTTAAATCGATTTGGGAGGTTTATTGTCTCGTAGCAAATCAAATGCATGAAATCATATGTGCTCTTGTTCCACTGTAACTCGACACACAGACATTACTGTAAATCTCTCACCATTTCTTCCAACCTAGAAAGCTTTCTCTTGCTGACCATCTGAAACAGGATAACTTCATCCAGACGCTAAATCAGTCTCAAAGCTCATGTTTGTTTTTTCCCCCCACCAAAAATTTAATTTTATTTCTAATAAGCAATAAATTAGTGGTTATTCCACGTACAAAATTAAGGAGACAGCTATGTGGCGAAACCAACCTCGCCACTGTACACTGGAGAAGCCTGGTTGCTCGCCTGCTCCCTTTAGACTATGGTCCTGCATTTTTAATTTTTATTTTACCGGCAGGAAGGTTTATTCGTGCCTTTCTGCGGACTGTTAAAGCCATGCTACCCCAGATAGCTATGCCATGGATCCCAGCCGTATACTGAAAGACTGTATGAAAGACTTTGGCTCCATGGCGATTGAACTGTATCTATGTGATCTGAGCGCCATTCGGTAGTAATGTGCACTCAGATCTAAGCTATCTGGGGATATGTAGAATGTCTATGTTTTATGGAATAAATGTAACTGTATGTAATTTTATGTCTTTTATTGTATTGTTACTGCCATGTGGTTAATGGAGTCTTGCCTCTGTCCTGGGAGATAATTGGATTACTTCACAATTATCTCCTGGGCAGAGAGGAGGGATTGTGATGTAAATGTAGGTGTGTTTTATGGTTCTCCTGTAAACGATTGGTTGTACTGTGTCCCACCCTGTGGGATGTCCCCTTGCATGGGGACTTGCATAAAAGCCAGTGTGTGGCCATTACAGAGAGTTCCTGCTTAACCCTCAAAGTGAAGTGTCGTCTCATTATTGGGGGAGGATTTACTGTATGCTGTTAGAGACTGATTGCCAGGAGTGTAAGCTGCTTGGGGGCTTTTCCTGTTCGTCTGCTAGCAGCTATTCGTGTGTCTCCAGTTCGGGAGTTTCGAGTATTCCCTTGGTTGCAGTCAGGGAGTTGGTGAATTCGTGGGTTTGCAGTTCAGGAGATTGGTGCTTGCAGTAGCTGTCGGTGCAGCTGAAAAAAGGGGAATATCGCTTAAACGGTTTTTAACCTCTTTTGGGCAAAACGGTCCGTTACAAGCTACATATAAATTCTCTTTATTTAGCATGGCAGGTGAGCAGTAGTTTAAACTTTAGACGTCTCTTTGCTTGTCAATGCAAAGCCAGTACTAGGGCATGTATTGCCTATGCGTAGATGCTGAAGCAAACATGTTTAGGTGGTCCTTTCACATTGACATAACTTGAGGACAGTGTTGTGATGTCAGCATAGATGATCCTCAAGGCAGGTTTACTCTTTGTTTATTTTTATTTTTTTCTTGTCTCCCCTTCTGGTAATTATATGTTGCTGACAAGGGTATCCACAGAAAATTGTATTTATTATTTTAACCCCTTCCCGACTATGGATGTACCACATACGTCTGACATAAAAACGGTTGTTAACAACCTTGGATGTACCTGACCCATGTACTCACCTGGACTGGCGATCCCGGTTTGGGATGAATGTCCGAGACCCCAGCAGTCTCCCTGCAGCTGCTCCGACCACCGTGGCCCTCCAGGGCCATGTGATTACCATGATCACATGGCCTCAATAGGAGTCTATGGGCAGGGGAACTGTCAGTCAGGAAGTCCCCCAGGCAGCTAAAAGTAAAAAAAATAAATAAAAAAAAATACAATAATCAAATGAATATATTATATATTTATAATATATTATAAAATAATTAAAGCATATGTTGGTGGTAAAATGGTTGCGTCAAAATACCTCAGATTCAATACCTTTGGCTGTCTTCTTTTAAAAAATATATACATGTGAAGGGTTATTCAGGAATTCCTGAAAGATATCATTGTTACAATGTAACTTTTGTTAATTTTGAAAAACAAATGGTTTGGAAATAGCAAAGTGCTACTTGCACTTATTGCCCTATAA